CCCCATAAGGATATGTTTACCCTACATGTGCGTGTGTGTATACATATTTTATTCTTTGGATTTTATTGTAACTTTTTACTGTGTATCTGCTGGCGCACTCCAAACGAAATCTCATTGTATTTGTACAATGACAATAAAGCATCTTTATCTTTATAACAAAATAAGCAATACACAAAATTAATTACACTATCAATACAGGTTTCCAGTCCAGAACATATATTTAAATGCTTCCTTGGGTCTTTTTGTTTGTCCCACTGTTGTATATACAGACAGATAGTTAAACATATATGTCCTCTGCATCCTCTGTTTTTCCAGAGTCGTTTGCTCTTACTGGCTGAAGTGTGCACGTATCTGGAGGAAAAGAGATGGCGATGAATATGCAGTATTGTGCAAAAATCTTAGACAGTCAAAGAAAATTATGCTTAAATGATATTCATGTTGGTGGAAAACTATGATATCATGCCAGCCAAAGTGTATGAGCTTAGCCATTGGAAACCTCCCCTAATGTCACTCCAATATATGCACCAACCATCTAATACGCCCATGTATTCGCTGACTCAACCAATAGCAAACCATGCTTGGCTAATCAATATCTTATTCATTTGTCAAACTGAGCTGGAAAATGAGATGTAACGAATGCATGGAATGGCTGAGGTGGCCCTGAGGACGGGTTTGGGAACTGAAGCGGTGTTCATCTAGCCGTCCAGCAAGATATCAGTAACTTTTTGGAGAACAGAAGAAATTTTTTATTGTTTTTATGCTAATTTCCAAACATTTCCCTGAACAGATATACACTTGCTACCCATATAAATAGCTTCAAGCATTTTCTTTGACTGCTTAAGACCAGTTCATTGCACAGCTGTTCCTTGTCATAGCCGCATTTTTTATTTACTCTTAAGCGAATGGTTGCAAATACTGTACAACCACAACTGAAATAGCAGACCTGAGAATATGACCTCTGCTCTTAATCAATGACGCGTCTACTGCAGGCACAGGGTACCCGCTTGTAGCTACACTAAGACAGGTCAGCTAACCCTAATACAACCTTATTATTTGATTGTATCGTTTTTAAAGTATTACCGAGTTTGGAGATGATATCAGCCTTCGCTTCCTTCTTAGCCTCACAGGAACCTTTCATTGTGACGTAAACATCGTCTTCGAGATCTGTAAGAGTAGCAAGGCCTTCTTTACTCTGTCATCCCAAAAGCCCGCTCACACTTACTCGCATGCTGACTTACAGGTAGTGTCACAGTACTACACGAGGACACTTCTTATTCCAACTTGAAGGTTCTGGTTTTTCCCCTTGAAAATGTCATTGATACATGCATGAAGAATTATGGAGGTTTTAAAATGGCAGTACAAGTTCTTCCTGACTTACATAAATCTAACGTCCATCTATCCATCCACCTTGCATAATCGCTTATCCTCAGCCATTTTTGCACCATGGATACATCTGGTAACCTGGTGAAGCTTATGGACCTCTTTGCTGAATTTCTGTTACAGGTCACTGAAAATAAAATGGTACATCCTGGACGAGATGCCAGTCCATCACAGGGCACGGGGCCGGGGTACAGCCTGGAGGGGATGCCAGTCCATCACAGGGCACGGGGCCGGGGTACAGCCTGGAGGGGATGCCAGTCCATCACAGGGCACGGGGCCGGGGTACACCCTGGACGGGAGGCCAGTCTATCACAGGTCACGGGGCCGGGGTACAGCCTGGACGGGATGCCAGTCTATCACAGGGCACGAGGCCGGGGTACAGACTGGATGGGATGCCAGTCTATCACAGGGCAAGGGACCGGGGTACACCCTGGATGGGATGCCAGTCTATCACTGGGCACGGGACCGGGGTACAGCCTGGACGGGATGCCAGTCTATTACAGGGCACGGGGCCAGTGATTTATCATAAAAGTCATTCATAAAGAACAGTGATATTCCAGTTATTAAATAAACCATAAATATCTATCCCAGTCTTTTCTTTCCTTCACCAGGCATTCCTGTGAGGACATTCTAAAAATGAAGTCAGCGACCATGTAGCGAGCAAGTGATGAAAATGCTCCAACACACAATCATGACGGCGAAACAAACATTCACACACATCAGCATTGTCTCGTTTACATAAAAAGCCCGTTTCCGGTACCTTCCCCTTTCTTTGGCAGCTTCTTCTTGATGCTCCAAAGCGCCACGCAAAATAGGACAATCAAGACAGAAGCTCCCAGAGTGATGAAAATTGAAATATATTCTGTTTTTATTAATAAAGGGAAAAAAAACTGCATTAAAACAGATATAAAATCAAACAGCATAATGTAATATGTTAATAATTATTATAGCATTCAAATATACCGCTTTATAGTTGACTGTCATTTTAATTAATTTAAAAGACCAACCTCTGCATGTTACAGCAGCAGCCGTAGTGTTTTGACTGCTGACAGCATTTTCTACCTCACAGACGAGCTTCGCAGGTGTGAGTTTGTAAAAAGACACGTTTCGCTCTTTTGAAACGGTGCTGTTTTCGGAAGTGGCGTTCAGCGTCCAGCGGAACGTGACGTCGTCTCCCCCGGTTACAGAGCACCTAAGCGTGACCCATCCATCTACTGCGCAAGTCGCCTTGACGTTTGTACCGGAGACGGGCTCTAGGGGGCAGCAGAGTAGACATTGTCACATCGAGTCACACAGGATTTAAATATACAAGACGCTCAAAGTGGCAGACGTAAGATCTTCGAGAGCCGTTTCAATCTATATTGCATAATTGCACGAGTTTTAGTTTGTTTGGTTGTTTGCAGACTGCAAAACAAAACGGATGCAGTTGCATAAAACCACACACCACCATACATTCTGAAAAAAACAGCACGTCTACATCAGAAACCGTAAACACACTTTAACTCGGTTGACCATGTCCTGCATTTACAGTAGCTGTTGAGGTGGTTTGCCTGGTTCTGGAGCACTTAGACTCATATTTTACAGGGACCATCGACTGACTGCTTCACGAAAGTCCAGTCCAGTAAATTAGAGGTCATGTGTGGTGAAAAAGCCCAGGGAAAATTATTACTGCAGATAATATGGGAGACTGGGGCTAAAATCATGGGGGCAGGTTGTCATGCAGTAATTAATTCTGTGTTCGGAGGTGAGGTAGGGACGACCTAGAGGTGCGGAGGTGAGATAGGGACGACCTAGAGGTGCAGAGGTGAGGTAGGGACGACCTAGAGGTGCGGAGGTGAGGTAGGGACGACCTAGCGGTGCGGAGGTGAGGTAGGGACGACCTAGAGGTGCGGAGGTTAGGTAGGGACGACCTAGAGGTGCGGAGGTTAGGTAGGGACGACCTAGCGGTGCGGAGGTGAGGTAGGGACGACCTAGCGGTGCGGAGGTGAATACTGCTGCTCTGGGGCCAGGGTGCGAGTCACCGCCGTCGCTCCCTGTGTCGTCGCGGGGTTCCTCCTGGGTACTCCAGTCCTCACCCTAACCCCCACCCCCCGGCCAACTGTTCAAAAACACGCTAAGGTATACTGGAGTTATGAAATTGTGTGTGTGCTGCGATGGGTTGGCGCCCCATCCTGGGTCATTTCCTGCCCTGCACCCGCAGCCTCTGGGACAGACTCCAGGCCCCCCCCCCCCCGGAACCCTGAGTTGGGGAAGCCGTTTCAGGGAAAGGGTGGGTGGTCTGCTGGTGAGACTCCAACTCATGCCACTCATAACGACGTGGTAGCTGAAGTTAGTGCTTAGGGTAAGTTTGAATGCACATTATTTCACTGACACTCAAAAATAAATAATTTTAGGATTAAGTATATTTGCATACATATATGAAAGAATATTAATTGTTTCCAAAGTTCTCAAACGTGTTTTGAATAAGACAAAACTATCAAATGAATTCATGTAGTTTTATTGTTTTTACCGCATCATCTACGGCAGCGTAAGGTAGGTTAGGCAGCCCTGAGTGCCGGAATCCAGCAGATTTCCATCCTACCTGGTCTCCGATGAACCACACCTGATCTCAGGCAGACATTACAGTAACTGGATTACATTGATTGTGCTATTGAACTGGTTATTAAATTGTTTTTTAAAATATCAGTTAATTACACTGTGACAACTTGCCCTCATATGTGACAATTATGACCTATTATGAGTTACGTTGTCACAAAATACTAATGTGTATTGTGCAATTAAATCAATATAAATTTAGGAATGAATATTAACAGTATATTAAACTGTACATTAAACCATTATCTTTCATACGGTATGGTAATGGATATTCAGCAAGGCTGCATTTTCTGCTAGTTTTGGGAAAACTTAAAGTTAATTCGGTAACACATTACTTGGGTGGGGCAAAAGTATTCTGCTCTTATGTATAAATTAACCACAAAAAGTCTTAGTTACATACTGATCTCAGGTTCATTCATCATTAAGGAATCGTGACATTTTATCTCAAGCAGTTACTGTATTTGTTACTACACTTAATTCTGTAAACCTCTGTGAGCTACTAAAAGAGCAACTCTTGAATAACACACGTGAAATACTGATCTCATGTTTGTCCATCATTAATGAATCGTGACGCATCATTTATCTAATGTATCTATTATTATGTTTGTTCATGATTTGTACTTCATTAGTACCACAGTTACTACTATTTGTGCCCCTCAACATACCCCAGTGACAACATACCCCAGTATCCCCTACTGCTTAATGTGTATATCAGAGCTCTTGTAACAGCAGTCAGCAACAAGGCAGGTCAATTCTATAGGTGACATAGGCGGCCGCCTAGGGCGCCAACATCTGAAGGGGTGCCGACCTGCCAGCCAATTTTAATTTGTCTCGGACGTAGGGCGCCGGCGGTGATGCTCGCCTAGGGCGCCATATCGGTTAGAACCGGTACTGTGATCGCGACCGAATGCAATCACGACATAGCAAGGCCTAAAGAAACGCTTCCCCACATTTATCGAAAAATGTTAGCACAAACCTGAAATGTGATCCTTACAATCCACGTAAAATAAAACAATTTATCTATATATGCTCTGACGAAGATGACCAGTTTGAAACAGATGGATTGGCTAAAATGGGAATTTTACTATTGTGTAGTATTTATATTATAAGCAGGGATGGACATAATTGGTACGCAAGTACGCATTCACCTTTAAGAACGATACGTGCGACAATCGATTGTGGTAAGAGTGTAAATGCTGACTTATTTTATGTGCATTTGCGTTGATATGAAAACAAAGTATAATGCATTTTAATCTTTATATGCTAACTCTACTTCATTTGCGTTATACAGGTTAAAATGCAAGGTATTTTCTTGTCATAACAGCACAAATGCACATAAAGGTTGGTGACCCCTGGTCTAAAGACTATTTATTATTGTGGCAAAAAAATAAGTAATTTCGAAATGCGATAAGTAAATTTACTTTGCGAGTAACTCAGAAATTCTTTTTTGAATCAGTTATTAGAGATAAGGTGATCTGAAACAAAATGCTAAATGAATTTCATAAAAGAAAATGTCGGATATTCTTACCCAGGACCCTGAGTGTGATAGTCGGGTTCGGTATGGATCTCCCATCCTCATCAAACATGTCCAGAGAGTAAGTGCCTCCCCTCGATTTGCTGGCATTAAGTGTTAGTGTCCCATTTGGGAAAACGTTGTACCCTTCGATACACGATGCATGTCCTTTTCTGTGAGAGCACACAGATGTATCGTTATATTTCCATCTGACGTCCGCAATGCCTTCAGATAGCCGATTTTCGGGGTGTAAGGAAACGGTGTCTCCGGATCGTCCGAAAAAACTGCGTTCTGCCATTTCTGAAAATAATAATAAAAAAGACAATTTAGGCCTACTTTTACTTTCACTCACATATATGCTCTGATCGTTTAAGTTTCTGACATATGCTCCTTTGCTGTGTGAACTAAAAATATCTGAATAAATACAAACTTACCACATCGCAGGTGAAAACAAGAGAGAAACATGACAATTAAAACGAACTGGTGGAAATCGCGGGTAGGAAACATCGCTTTTACGAGATTAAGTTTGCAGGAATCGTTTTCATTCGACCCGCAGATGACGAAACCCACCCCTTTGAGGAAATGATAACTATCCAGCTTCATCATTTGTGGTCAGCAGGCACCTTCGGTCTGACACGTGATCAACAGTTATGATGCAGATTAATTAGATTATTGCATTTACGCTCTTTTTACATGTCAAAAATGAGACAAAAAACATTTTAAAAGCCTTGTTTTACCGTTGTAGATAAGCCGCAAACATGTCTAGACAGCTTTACCACTTCAAATTCTTTTAGCTACTCCGGCCACCGCTGAGCTACACGCCACATCCGCGCGTCGCTCAGTGCAAACTCGCAATATACACACTGCACACTATATATACCAAGGTTCTTCAAATCTGGACCTCGATTCCAAATCCAGGCCGTGTTTTCAGTTCTCCCAGGTAGTTAGTTTAATAATTACTGATTCTGATTGGTCAGAGGCTTCACACCCGGCTCACAGATAAAGGAAGGCTGGAAAACCAGCAGTGCTTGGACCTCGAGGACCGTGATTTGAATAATAGGGCTATATATTCAATTCAGTTTATTTTATATAGCGCCTTTCATAGCAGAGTCGCCCCAAGGCGCTTTACATGTACATTACATCATTAAGAAAGAATAGTACAAAAACAGGGAAAAGGGAGGAGAAAGAAAGAAAGAAAGAAAGGCAAATGACAGCAAAGGAGAGGAACCAAAAACTGTCAAGGAGAAAAAATAACTCTGGGGGTCCAAGTAGGGTTGCCACATCTGAGTTCTGTAAAACCGGGACGACTGGGGTGACGCACTCCCTGACACACGCACACTGCCACTGGCCCTGGACTCGGGGGGGGGTGATGCCCTCCCTGACACACTGCCACTGGCCCTGGACTCTGGGGGGGGGGATGCCC